GGGGGTCGCATTTGGGCTCTGGGAGGGAAAAGGGGGTCGCATTTGGGCTCTGGGAGGGAAAAGGGGGTCGCATTGCGCGCGCTTTGGTCATCAGGCAGGGCAGAGGTGTGTGTGAAAAAAAGCAAAAAAGTTGCCGTTTCAGTGGTTGTATATACCCCCCGCTCGACGGCTATTTTTGGGGAAGAAGTAGGCGGAGTTTCGGAGTTTTAGGTAGGTTTTGGGCTGTGTCAACTGGTCTCAGAATCAAATACTATAGAAGAGGGAGAGGTCGCGGTGGGGGGATGGCTGGTTGTATTGGGGGGTCGCAACTGTGTTGGTGGGGGTCGCAACTGGACCCCTCCAGAGGGGGGGGGGGTCGCAAAAATCCCGAAAATGTTCGAACGTGACGGTTGACCCTGCGGATTAGAGGTCAAACATGCACTCGAGTTTCGTACTGTAGGACGTAAGTAGCTGAACGAGTGGATGCAGCTTACGTACAGCGGCTCCACCAAAAGGGCTGGGTTTGCTCATACAAGGAGAAAACTAACGCCTTGAAGAGAGGACGGCAACCGCGAAGAAAGGAGGCTTAGTCCTGAGGTAAGCATCAAATTGAGGCGGTTTTAAGGACCGAGTTGAAGTAGTCCGTCGACCGTCGGGGACCCCATCCCCTCCCCAACATTCAGCATACGGCCCCAGCAGAAACGCCAAAAGGGCTGGTTTGCGCTTACTTCGTTTCCTGCACACCCCCAACTACACTTTGCGCCAGAATCGATGCCAAACCCTTTTTTTATTGCAGATGAGTTGTGATAAACTCCTCGGATGCGAGTCCCCTCCCCAACATTCAGCATACGGCCCCAGCAGAAACGCAAAAGGGCTGGTTTGCTTATTCCTTCCCCACACCCCCAACTACACTTGCGCCCAGAATCCAGATGCACCTTTTTATGCAGATGGTTGTGATATACTCCTCCGAGCGAGTCCTAGTTTTCTTTCGTTGCCAAATTTGGAGCTATCTGTTGGTCTGGGGTTTTTGTTTTGGGGCGCTGCTGCTTTCCTGCTCAGCGGTGTCAAATTTCCCGTCAATTGGCCATATCTGAGATTTTAAGCCAACCGTCAAAAAAGGGGTCATGGGTAAACAATGTCCGCTGATTCTTCTGCAGCTTGTTTTTATTGGTCAATTGGGCTGATACACTGATAAAACGTTTGAAAATAGACTTTCCCTTGTTTATGCTTGAGATTGACTGGCCCTCGTATTCTTCCACTCCGCTGTCGTCATCGTGATCGATTAGCTTCAACGTGCAAAACGTTCTCGCTTATCTGCGATTATATTGATGCGCCTCTGGCTTTAATTATTCTACGTATTGAGCTTTATTCCTCCATTAGTAGGTTAAATATTAAGTATGTTTTCGCTCGCTTCAGAGATCATATTTTTGATGTGGCAAAGCGTAGCTCCTGAAATATGATGGATCTTTCAGGAATGATAACGTTCGATTCCTTATGGGCTCTTGAAATTGACACTTGAATGGTCCTTTATTTATTGTTATATGATATTCGAAAAAAAAGCCCCGAGGTGTACCCTTTTCACAGTGTTTATTGTTGTTCACTTAACTCATTTTCATTTCGTTTCAATGTTTTTTTTTCTCGTTTTGAGTTTGTTTGGCTCAATAATTCTCGCAGTCAATCAAAAAAGATGAGCAGGCAGTGCTCCCGGGAAGAAGACTAACCATAAGAGTTGGTACATAGATGGGGTTGATGCTATTATCGATTGTTCCGATTGCGATAAGGAGTCTAATGCTTTATGATTCCAGCGTGCGCTATTCTGGGTGATGTCTGGTCTCCTTTCAGGGAGGCGCCTGGCCAAGATCACTTTCCTGTCATAGATCAACGTCCACGTCTGGTGCCGTAGTTGTGCATCGCATTTGGTGAAGGGTAGCCGGCCCAGAATTCGAACAGTGATAGGTTATTCATTCAGATCAACTCAGGATATAACCTCGTGGAAGTAGATCGGTGTGCAATTTTTACCAATGGTTTTCCGGACCATTTGAGAAAATGGGACTTGAAGACGCGGTCTATTCAACAGTGCGAGCCTTATCCATAAGAATAAACAAAAAGTAGTCTAAGTGGGAAGTAAAGGGTATAAGTTGGAGATTAGGTGTATGAAAAGAGAAGTTGATAGGAAGTGGGTGATTCAGAGAAGTAACTATTGGTCTTGGAGCCCTAGTTTGAGCAGGAGGTAGCTTAGGATCCTAACCGTGGGATGTTAGATTACAATAAATTCCCGAACAGCCTTGCTAAATCTCTGAAATTTTCGCTTGTCACCGGTTCCCGTGTCTCGCTTCTTAGCGTGGCAGAACTTGAAAGAGATTACTGCCTAGGAAGTAGTCAGGCACAAACACTCATATTTGTTTCGAACTACTTTACATAGCTGCTCTCGTTTCAACAGCACAGCTGAATGACCAATCACGGGGTGATTCTGCGGCAAGATAAAGCAAATAATCTACTGTGTCGGCCATTTACGGAAGCCTGGGCGAAACTCTGGATTAAATTAACAAAAGACTTGCTTCGGGATAAGATAAAGTGAGCAATT